TAGACTTGAATTTGTTGTTAAGATCTCTTTATGAGGGCATTTTTTATATATTTGTCGTTAAGTCAACTGAACGAGTTGTTTATCTTAGAGATAGACATCTCTCAAAAATAATTAACTTGACAAAAATATATGTTAATTTATAAACAAGAATCATGCAACCGATTCTTTTCGCTAGAAAAGTTCATTTCCTCTAGTGTTAATATATTTGCTTGCGGAATCTTAGAGGAATTTATTAAATATAAACTCATATTAGCATCAAAAAAATAAATAAAATACTAAATATTTTACTTTTCCAAACAAACAAAGAAAATTAAAAATACATAAATATTTAATAAATTTATCATCAGTAAACATTTTACGTAGTTCAAATCAGAAATTCAGTATTATAAGGAGTTAGTTTTATTGAAATATTACACAACTGCAATTTTCTTAGTTACAACCACTGTTTATTTACAAATGTTTCATTCAAGCTAATTATTATTTTCCATTTATTTATAAAATTGTGTGAATAAGAACCAACATGAATTTCATAGAGTTTCAAGTTTTAAATATCTAATAGTAAACTACTTAAAACTACTACTTAAAAATATGCTCAAAGCGAGATTCAATAAATTAATGCTATATATTTTATTTATTATATATTTTCGATACATCAATAAATGGATTTTATTTATGTATTTGTAATAAATTCACTGAATGGATACTAAAACCTTGAACTATTGTCTTCCGACTCTGTTTTCGCATATTTTCCCTTGATGTATTGACAATCACAATATTATCATACTCTATGTCATCTAAAATATAAGAAACTAAGAAATTGTGATTCAAATATTTCTTTTTAGACTAGAATTATCTGCTTTTCCCTTAATAAAAACAAGATTTCTTAGCTTGAGCAACAAATGGGGTAATTTTAACTACTCTTGCTTAGATAACTATGCAATTCCCCATTTATTATGTGCAGAGTAAGAGAGAAAGAACGTCCGCAAATTCCTCCAGTAAAAATGCCTTAGGTCAGTTTCAATCAGTTTGCTCAGTTTTAGTTTACTTGCTAGCAGACATTCTTTCCTCGAGCGATGCACAAATTAAGTTTCCAGTTCAATTAGTAGTTGCAATCTTTTTTCCCTTCACCATCAAGTCTGGCAAAAGAGGAAAGAAAAATGCGGCCCAACGCGCTTACAGAAACCTCTGAACTATTAAAAACATTTTCAAGTTCTAAACGCTGCAGTTGCTTCAATTTCCACGCAAATGATAGGGAAGAAGAGACGGTGGGCTGGGTTGGCTTTAAATAGAATATGCGCAAGAAAATAAGACTTGGGGGAATTTGATGCCCCTCGGAGAGATATGATCAGAAAAGCGAAAAACCAGTTATTAGCCGAGCTGAGATCAAAAGAGTTGGCCAAGAACTTGGTCTGGCAATTGCAGCTGAATGGCTTGAGTGGATTGCTCGACTGCAGCCAGAGAGCACATTGGACACTTTATGTGTACACTAGAATTGGCTGCTTCAGAGCTTTTCCAAGAGCCAATCAAACCGCAAACCGGTTAATAGTTCGCATCCTGTGGCACATACATGCAATTATAATGTTTAAATTTAGAATGGACTTTGGTTGGACGACTATAAATAGCTAGCCAGGGCAATACCAGTTTAGCAGCAGCAGCAGAAGGAGCAGCTACCAATTGAATGCCTGGCATAGACAACTGTAGCTAAAGCCTTTGCTCTTCCCTCCCCCTCTTAGCATAATGTTCATCTTTGCGCTTGTCTGCCTGCTGGCAGTGGGCAGCCAGGCGAAGCCACTGCAGCCAGTCGTGGAGCCGGCCCAGCATATTGTCATTGTGACGCCTCAGGCGCAGGTGCACCTGGAGCCAGCGCTGCGCTACGTGCATGGCTTGTCCCCATTGGCGCGCGTCTCGGGGCCCCATCATGAGGAGACCATTGTCTATGTGCCAGCTGGAGCTGCAGCCTCTGTGGTGCCCACTATAGGCGATGCCGTGTCCACTGGCCGTGCCAGCAGCCGCAATCCAGCACAGGAGACCAGGCAGACTGAGGGCTTCCCGAGTGTCAATCAAATCCAGCAGCAGGTGCAGCAGGGCGTTGAGATCGTAGGCGGACAGTTGGGCGAGGCTGCTGAATCAGCAGCCGCTGCCGGCGCTGGCTTCTTCCCCGGCTTCTTCCCCAGTCCGGGCAACAAAAACGAAGAGGTGCAGAAGCTGAAGAGCGAGAAGATCGAACTGATTGAAACTCCGGCCAATACCCAACCACTGCTGGCTGCCACCGAGGCGCGTCACTTCTACAGTCTGCCGCAGGTGTATCACACGCCCGTGGTCGATGTGGTGCATACCCCAGTCTACTCGTGGCCCATCTCAGCTATACGCGCACGCAGCATTCAAACCGATGAGGCACCCATTCAGGCCACTGAGGAGAAGGCAGCGCCAGAGCTACCAGAGGCTCAGCCACTGCTCAAGCAGCAGAAGCAATCAGAGCAATCGGAACAGCCATTGGATCAGCTGGCACAGACCATCATTCCTGCAGCCGTCGAGGCCAGTGAATTGAAGGCAGACATTGCGCCACGTCAGCTGGAGGAGATTAACGCTATCAAGGTGGAGCAACAAAGCGAGGAAAATATTAAGCCAATTCTTAAAGACGCACTTCAGGAAACCAAAGCAAGCTTCGCCGAGCCCGCCGTCAAGGAAGCCCCCAAGGAGGCCGAGAAGGAAATTATACCGGAAGCCATCCCAGAGGTCAAGAAGGAAGCCCAGCCCGAAGCCAGAAAGGATGTCGTCCAGGAGGCCAGGAACGAGGCCATCCAGGAACCCAGTTTCGAGGCTCGCAAGGAGTCCAGTAACGAGGAGATCAAAGCACCCATTCTGAAGTCTGATGAGGGTAGCTTAAAGGAGCTAATTAAGGAGGAGACCAACCAGGAGCTCATCAAAGAGGCCATCAAGGAGCCCCTCAAGGAGACCATCAAGGAGCTTATCAAGGAGGAAAGTGAGTAGATTATTTGAAAAGAAATAGAAAACTTATATTCATTGGCTGCATATACCATAAAATATAAAATATTTATTTGGCAATTCTTGCATATTTAGTCAAGGAAGAAATTCCTTTGCTTAAGGCTGCAGCCCGTCCCATTGCCGCTGCCATACCAGCTGAGGCCCAGCAAGCGGAGGCACAGCCCGAGGCTCAGCAAGCCGCCATCGAACAAGGGACACCAGCAGCAGCAGCAACAGCAGCTTAGGTAGCCACAGCCATGAGATCAATTCACATCGCATCAAACCACATCGAATCGCATCACACACACACATAGAGACACATACACACACTCATACACAGATATTCTATATGGGCAACTTTGGTATTCTACAACTCGATCTGTTCCGTGCCTAGGCTCTGCGCCAGGCCGTGGGTAAATACAATTAGTTACTAACACAGTCACAGCGAAGCAATTTCCGACTTTCAGCAACAATTAATAAAATGCAACAACAACAACAACAACAACAACAGAAGTATAATACAAATAAAATAAAATATATATGAAAACAAACATCTAAATGCATATACGTTCATTCATAGCTAACAACATCTAGACATCTAGAACACGTTCATAATCATCATTCATCATCATTCATTCATTCATTCATTCATTCATTCATTCATATTCATAACCATAACAAATGAAAAATGTAAAACAGAACAATAAAAAAAGTGAATGTAAAATGTAAAATACGGAGAGAGTTTTTATTTCTTATTCAAAGTGGAAGCGAGAAAGAGACAATAAGCAAAAGACTTAAGCAACAAACTTGCATGAAGGATTGTCGAGAGATAAAAATATTAAGTGAAAAGAGAAGCCTTTTGAGTAAGGGGCTTATTATCTATACAGCAAGCATCGACCGATTACTCATACATGACAAATATTGCATATACAATATATATACATATATATTTGTTCGGGTCTCTATGATGACGTATGCCCTATCATTTGGAATAGGTTCTCTATCATTTCCACACTCGATTTTCGTTACCTTCTTTTTACTCTTGAGCAAATTCGGAGCAGCATCATTTGCTCTTTTTCGAGTGAAATCTTCTTGGGTATAAGAGGTGGAGGCTGCAGCAGCATTTCTTCAGTCGTTTACCGAAGTTGGTGCTGGACAGCTGTGTGTGCAGAGGAGTGAGGAGCTGTGCTCTACTTTTGGACTTGGTATTTATTTAGTAAAGTATTAGTATTTTAATTAGTATTTAATTTAGTATTTAATTCAGTATTTAATTTAGTATTTATTTTAGTATTTATTTAGTATTTTTTTAGTACTTTAAATATTTCATATAACAACAATATTACGATGATAATAATAATAAATGGAATGATGGTCCTTATCATACTAAACTTTATTATAATATTGCTGATAGGTAACTGTAATATTTATTTAAAATAATAATATTTCATCAATTGTGATTATTAAATTAGCATTAATCATAATTATTGTTTGTAAAATTATATACATATTTATTTTAAGGAAGCTGCCAGCGGAAGGTAAGCTTTATATACATATGTATTTACATATGAATAATATTCTATAATATTAAACTTCTAAGCATAAGCTAATGCCAGTCCCACCCAAAATACATATTGTATATGCAAAACTATATATAATTATACATATATATATTATATACATAAATATGTATATCGTCTATAATTGTGCAACTGGACAAGATGGGTTAAACACGCACCCGTAATTCCCACTGAACATAAAAATATTGCACATATTACCCACTCACACACACACACATGCACATACACAGAGCTAAACATAAATCGCGTTCCATGCTGCATGCGCGACGCATACTAAGTGCGCTTAGAGACGTGCCCAGCCATGAGCTATGGGCAAAGTGTGGGCGCCTCTCTCACGTTACAGTTACAACGATAGTCGTGGAGCTGAGTCTTTTATTGACAGAATATATAAATACAAAAATAAATAAATTTAATAACTCTTAGATGTACATGTATGTATGTGTATATATAAATATATTTCTGTATGTATGTCAATCACTTGTCCTCGCCCACAGTGATCCAAACATCTTTTCGTGGCAGGATTGTGGTTGTAGTTGTTGTTGTTGTTGTAGTTCTTTTTGTCGTCGTCGTTGTTTTTGTTGGTTTTGTCTTTGCTTTCACCGTGCTTGCCACAATTGGGGGCGCCACAGTGGTTACCTCATCTTTGCGCACGGGATGACTGGTGTCCGTATGGCGATAGATGGAGAAAAAGGTTTGTATGCGTTGTATTATCCTCTCCAAGAGCGGCGGAAACTTGTGCTCCACACCATCGCCGTACATCTTGATGTTGAGCTTCACTTGCTCCTGGCTTGAGTGCAGCTTCAGTGCTTGCAACACGCTGCGTAATAGCAGGAAATTCTGTAGATCGCCGCCACTCTGATTCTGTGGATGCTCCAAGATCAAAGTGCCATTCGGCTTCAGTTCCAGATAGCCAATCTCCTTCGTATCCATTCCGATGGCATTGCTCGTCTCGTCCAACTCGTGCGGCACCACAGCCGCCTGCAGCGCGGCCGGCGAAAGCAGCAGAAGTAACAGCAGCGTCAGCATCAGCGCTGCATTGATCTGCATCTTGAAGTGGTTTATTTTCCTTTATTTGCGGGTAAACCTGACTGCGGACAGCTCCGATCGGCCAGTCGCTTGGTATTGCACTGGTTTTGACTTTACTTTAGCTTTCGCACTTATTTCAACTGCTGTTGCTGCTGCTTCTTCTTCTTCTTTTGCTTTGGCTTCGAGCCCTGCGTGTGTGATTGAGCGCTGTTTGCTTTGGAGCCATTTGCTGGGCACTGCGAGTGTGTTTACCTGGCGGGCACCTGGCCAACTTTGTTTATTTGACATTTTCAGCTGCTCACCCGGCTCTCGGCGCTCTCAGTGAGCTTCGACTTGGCTGTTTGAGTTAGTTATTTGCATTGAAGTTTCGAGCTATTTGTTCATATCTTGTTACACATTAATACATCTATTTGCCATTTGCGTATACGTAATATTCCGTTTACAGGTGCAAAACATTTCAAAAAATAAACTCTCTTGTATCTCAGTTCACTTCTCATAAGGAATTCAATAAAGCGGCATTATTATAATAAAATATATTCATATTTAAATATGAACGACAGTTGCACAGCGTAAACCGGATTTACGAAAATTAGGTCTGCGTTTTTATTTAGACTTTTGCATCATCGGCAAGTAAATAAATAAGAAACAATAAACTTATTTACAGAACATCTAAAAAGGAATTAAGAATGTTGCAAAGTGATTCACTGAATATTTGATGTCACACATTTGTTTATCTGAAGATAGAAGTCAGCATACTCAACGTAAATTCCAGAAATTGTTTATAACTATTGATATAAGAAATCACGAAATGAGACTAAGTAGCATAAATTAACTTTGACTAGTTTGTGGCTCATTTCGTTGTCAAGAACCAAGAATTAACCTGTTGCTGACTCATTCAATATCTGGAGCCTTTTTTGAGTGCCCCGGTTAGGTATAATGATTTAGTGTTTATTTGTCAATCATATGAACTATGATAAGCTCTTAATCAGTTTGACTAGTTGAGAATTGGTAAGTGAGTCTATCTGTTTATTTACCTGTCTATATGTTACTCTGCCTAATTTAAGAACATAACTTTAAGATCATTAAAGCAAGAGATTATGATGTATTGAGGTAATTCCTTGAGAAAAAATCAAAAGAACCAGCAAAGCTTGATTGACACAGCAAGTCGACAAATGATGAGGGTATTTCCCAGTCTATAATTCCTAATTAGAGCTTCCATAGTTTGTTTTTGAATCTGTATATCTTTTGTATTCTTTGCAGCTAATGAAATTCAGTCAGCAGAACGCAAAAGTACAAAAATCGCCATTTGCGTCTATGAACAGCGATAAAAAATAACATAAGCTAAAAATACGTTTTTAATATTAGTAATGGTCAATAAGTTGCATAAAGAAATATATACATAACATAAATATATAATATTGATATTTGTTTTGGTATAAATTACGTAGAGCCTCGCTGTCTGGGTGGGAAATGAAAATTTGTTTTAACGGTCTGCTTCAAATGCTTGAGGCGTGCTTCTTACCTATTATTTAAATAGCAATATCATTTCTGTAATTGTTGTAAATGTAATTGTAATTGAGAAACTGCGCAGTTTGCTGTCAACAGCTCAAAGCTGAGCCCTTGCACGACTTACAAATCTCAAAATAAAGGCGACGGAATTTAAGTCAAAAGACTTAGGCAACAAACTTGCGGAATCACAGTCAAGCAGCTCTCATTGCTTGAATTACCCACTCGAATTGACATTTGATAGCGCATCTGGAAGAAGATACGATTAATTATGCATACATACATATATGTTCATCTGTAGCAGAGACAAGTCAAGTGCTCGTCTGCCTGAGCTTCCGCTGATCGTTTCTACAGGAAACCCGAGCCCCTAGAGCTACAGCTAAAGCTGTACATTTTGCATTAATTAGAAGTGAAAAAAAATTGATGGAAGCATTCAAAAATTATTTGATAAAAAATAAATCATTACCAGCATAAAGTAAACACAAACGTGGTTGGCCACGCGTATACCCAATGCCCAAAAAGCTGTTTCATATACATACATATATCCAATTGATATTTCCTTAAAAGGTGAACTGGTTTTAGATGCCTGTCACTAAGTAAGATTATTTAATATGATTGTGAGCCAAATTTAGTATATATTTTTGGATCAGAATAGATTAGACCTAACGTCTTGTAACCACAAGATTTAGAACAGCCCACATATTTTATTCTAAATTGCTTACCTAAAACTTATATATAGTTAGCAACTTAGAAAGACGTTTTTGAACATTTCAGATATTGTTGCGTGTGAGGGGAAAACCCCAAAGAACTCGTTCTGCTATATTTGATTTACATTTATGATCAATTATGATATATATTTCATACAAATTAAATATTATATCATTAATATACAATAATATGTGATATTCGCGAATCTTCTGGTTGTTTCAACAAATTCTTTATTTATTTAATTTTTATAAATATTATCGTTTGCAAAGTAAAACAGGAAAAACAAGTGTATGATCGGTATCATTCTGATCGGTATTCTCCCAATCCTTGAATCGCACTTCCAGTAATCTTTGCTTATGATCTTGCTCAGCTCTTCGTACATGCTGATTAAAATAACGTGAAAGCTTTAAGCACAACCTTGAGAGACATATTTAAGGAATTCATATTAAGCCGCTAAAACCATTTATATTCTTGGATAAGTAATATAATAATAAATAATTATACAAAAATATTCTAGAGATTCTCATATACTTTTATATCATTATTGTGAGCCTGTGAAGCGGATATAAAAACTACATATCAAATCGCTGAATCTTCTCGAAGCCAGCATATACTACCCTATGCCACATTCTATATAGGGTATCAGTCAGAGATCAATGAGATAACTGACAGCCGTCTAGCTAGCCAAAATGCCACTTAAACTACGATAGACACTTGCGGGTGCGCTTACAAAACAAATATTCTATAAACTACAACAACGGCAACAATAACCAAAAGAGAAAGATAATAATAATAAGTAAAAAAGGTAAAATAAATATTATTTAATAACTAATTGAGCATTTCGATGCTCGCATACATACAATTAATGATGTGAGCAAAGCAGCCACAGAACAGCAAAAGCAACGCGTGAGAAGTGTGAATTTTCAGCTAAGATGAACTTCAAATTGTTGTTGATGCCGATGCCGATGCTGATGCTGACGCTGAGTAAGAAACCGGACAGAAGCGACGAGCACATCTTCATTCAACGTTCATTTTTTAATTTTATGCAAAACAACAAAACGTATTGTATAAGAAAAAAAAAAACGGAAAACAACAAACTGCGAAGCAGAGTTAGTATAAAAGCCTTGCGCTAAAGTTATGTAGTTATTAGTAGATCGACAACAGTTCAAGCAACAGCAGCAGCATCCAGAACAGTGTTTATAAAACAATAATTTATACACTATATATACTATATACTATATATATATAAATATATCAAGTGTTAATCAAGTTTCGCAATGAAGTGCTTTATATTGGCCGCCTTTTTGCTGGTTAGTAGCCAAAAATATGAATTGTGTTAGTGTTTGAATCATTATGCATATGAATTGGCAACAAGTTATGAGCTTTGGATAAATAATGCGACATCTATGGATCAATTCAATTAGAAGTCCGGGTTGTAAAAATGTCAAATGTGCATATAAAAATGTCTCTGACGTCTATTTGCCACGCGTATCATTTATAGATGTGCTAATTGTGTTACACGTTCCGCGGAAGTTGACCAAATGACATCATCATCATCATCATCGTCATCATCAAAAAGCTGTGAAGCGTGGCACATTTTATAACCCATTAATTCTTAACTTTTCGGGTTTCTTCTTATAGGTGAGCTGCGCCAGCGCCGAGAACATCTTTAAGATTAACATCACGCCAGAGGAGGCGCAACAGTATCTGAACAGCGCCCAACTGCGAGGCGTTAATGAGATCGAATATGCGCCCAAGACTGGGGAAAATCCCCTGCCCGAGGCACGCAACGAGAAGGGAGAATTCGTGTATATGGGTCGTGTGATTGAGCATCCCGAGGATTATGTGGAGGAGCACTACGATGCGCATCAGTACCATGGCCAGGACGGTCTGGGACAGTATGTGTATGGCTACAAGGACTGGAATCAGGGCAAGAACGAGAAACGCGACGAGGCTGGCACCGTCAGTGGCTCCTACAAGTATGTGCAGCCACATGGTCGCGATTTCATTGCCAAATACTATGCGGACAAAACTGGCTTCCATGTTGAGGACAACCGTCCGGCGCATTTGAAGCTGCCGGCAACCAAGACACCCGCCGTGCTGAAGGCCGAGGAGGAGCACTTCAGACTGTGGGGTGAGCTGGCCGCTGCCGCTGGCCACAATCCCGATCCGTTTGCTCCCGAATACCAGACAGGCGAGGGCGCCTACCAGCCCAGCGAGACAGAGACTCGCGAGTACGTGCACGACGAGAAGCCCTATGTGCCTGGACCAGAGGAGACGGGCGAGCCCAAGGGCTTCTTCTACGCCTTCGACTACAACGTGCCGCTGTTGCGCAACAAGGCGGAACGCGAGGAGCTCGAACGCCTGCGCGCCATCAACAACAAGGACGAATAGGAGGTTCCTTGACATAGCTAATACTCACGTAGAAAATAGCCTAACTCTAGATATTTATTCAATGATATATTAAATAAATCCAGCAGCTATTACAATTCTCAAATACGTTCTGTTTTCTTGCTTTTATTGTTACATATACATATATATAAAATGTGGTTTGGTTGTTTTTTTTTTTTTTTTGCTTAAATTGTTTTAACCCGTCCACTTGTATAATTTTATTTGTTTTTAATCTTAACACTTTAGTTGTTGTTTGTTTTTGTTGTTTTTATACGTTCTTTACATTTACATTTTTGTTTTTCTTTTGTTGTTGTTTTTTTTTTTTTTTAATTTAATTTTTTTTTGTTATCATTTTTTTTTTTTTTGCTGCTTTTCAAGTAAAATTATTGCTTTCTTTAACTTAAATTAAGTTTTTTTATAAGCAATCAATAATTGTTTAATTTTTTTCGTTTTCTTTCTGTGGTTTTTTTTTCGACAACCAGCTAAAACTAAGTTTTAATTTAATTAAATTATTTAATGAATAAATCGATTAATCAATGCATTAGTTTTTTTTTATTATTTTCATTTCAAGTTACAAACACAATTTTGTAATTATTATAAAAAAACGAATTTTTGATTTTAATTATATTTGTTTTTCGTTTTTATACATGCAATGCCATTTTTTCTATGGCACTGATGGCTGACGAAATGCATTTAGAGAGAAAAACGAAACAAAACAAATCTCTAAACTGAGACTCAAAGTGTTTTGTAGCATGCTTTTGGGCGTTGCATAAAATATAAAAAAAAATCAAATTTTTATAGTACTCTTGCAAAAAGTAATATTTAACGAGCCGAAAAGATTAGACAAACATTTTTTGAAAATAGTTTAAATTTAGTTTCAAGTTAGATTTTTTAAAAATATATATTTCCCTTTGCTCTATTTTGCAAGAGTATTAAAACTTCGACTGGCCAAAGTTAACTGATTTGTTTATTCGATTTTCAGTATACTAAATATATATATATTTGTTTTGTAATTATGTTGAAAATAGTTTTCGATGTTAAAAACAAAAATTTGATTTTCAAATGAATCACAATTGAATTTTCGTTTTAAATGAAAAGCAAACATTACAAATGCACACATATGTACTCGTATACTCGCCTATATGCATTGTGTATATATACTTATATACATATATATATATGGATATATATATATGCTTGTACATATGTATGTGATTTATATATGGCAGCTTTGTTCAGTCCAATATTGAGTTTTCTCTTTTGCACGTTAAGTTCTATTAAATTTTCACTGCATTTTGTGGTTTTATTATATAAATATATCGAGAGTTCTTGAAGTTCTGCTCATTTAGTGCGAACGACATGTGAATAGAAAAAGAAAAAGCAAACTTTAAAAAAACAAAAACAAAAACAATATTATAACAATATAGAATAGAATAGATGTTTATCATATGAGTACTTGTTCTTCAGGTCATTTTAATTGCATTACTCAAGTAATTTGGAACTGTTCTTTTGACTTTAGTCGATATTGAAGTAAGGCAAAACAAAACATTTAGAAATAGAAAACAATTTATAGCATCTCGTATAGATAGAGTGATAGTGCAAGGTACTTTATAAAGCTTGCGTCGTCGTTCACACGAGTTAAAACTTCAAAGAACCGAAAAAAATGAAAACTTGGAGATCATTTGAGCAGACTGGTATAGGAAAAATGAATGCGTAATACTTGTACAGCTGGGTTCTATTTTCTATTGGATCAATAGGCCCTCGCTAGTCTAATTACTAGTGGATGATAAAGGTTTTCGTGCAATGTCCATTGCTGTGTGTGTGTGTGCGTGTGATTTTCTTTTGTCTACATATTTCTGATGATAATTTGGCGCATGAGTTTCATTTTACGATTGCCATTGATTGGTTTGATGACCTAATATTTAAGTTCTCTATTTTACTTATATTCGCTTTTATTTTCTGTTTCTCTCTCATTTGGTTTGTATATAAGGCAAACTGTATGCGAAACATACAAATATTGAACTATATAAATACTTGATTTTTATATTTGTTAATCTTTACGTATGCCGGGGAAGAATTCTGGAGAAACTATGGATGACAAGCCCAGACAAGTGGGCGCTATACATATATATATACATATATAAAGATATATATATATATATATATATACATATGTATATGTATTTGAGTATGAATGGAGCATGGCACAATATTATATTTTTCTTTTTTCAGTTATTACATTGAGAGTCTGTCGATTTGCCTTCAAAAATTGACTGATACAACTGTATATATTGTATATATATATTCATATATAAACGTACTTTGTATACATATATATATATATGTATGTATGATTTATGTAAATCTTGTATATATTAAACGTCCACGACTCTAAATACTCCTAGGTGCTAGTGAAGTGCTAGTGCTACCCGAAAGGTAGTTCTCTCTCTACTCATTACTCGTATCGTGCCTGTTTACTCGGATATCCTTTACTCTTCCTACTTATGAAACTTTATGTTATCATCGTTATCAGTTATACTTATCTACTTGGCCGCAGCAGCCGCTGCCGATGCTGCACTGGGCGCCACTTTCAGCTTGATGAACATATTGTTGTCGTTGTTGCTGCTATTCAGGTCGAGTTTCTGCACCTCGCACTCGAGATTGTTGATGCAGTTCTTCTCGTACTGTGTGGTGCCATTCTCCGTGGCTGTTTTGTCACTGGGCGCTTGCTCGCTGGGTGCCACCTTCTTCTCCTTACTCTTCTTCAGCGCATTCAGCAGCGTTTTCTCTTTGCTCTTGCTCTCCTTGTGATTGCCATCCTTATCCTTGTGTTTGTTATTCTTGAAGCGCGGGAATATGCAACCATTGGGCAAGAAGCCACCAAGCTTCTCCTTCTTTACTGGCGCTGCTGGAGGTGGCGTGGCTGCAGGAGGCGTGGGCGTAGGTATGACTGTAGGCTGAACAGCAGCAGCGTTTGGCGCTGGAGCTGTTGTCACATTTGTTGGAGTACTACAACCATTGCTGGTAGTCGTATTGGCTGATTTGCTCTCTGGTTCTTGGGTCACTTGCTCGACTGTTGATAGAGTCTCTGTAGCAGATGGAGAGCCGCTGTTGCCATTAACAACGACACCTGCATCCGTTTGATCACCGCAAGAATCGCCAGGCGTTGACTCGTTGCTACCCGCTTGTTGTTCTTGCTGTTGCTGCTCATCCGACTGCTCACTGGCTACCTTGTTATCCAACTGCTGGGCAAATACGGCCAGTGTAATGCCGTTCCCATGCTCAGCCGCCATAAGATCGGCATTATATGCTGGCGGCAAGCCGATCTCGGATGCATTTGACTGAGCAGCACTTCCAGCACGCATTGCATCCGGTGACTTGGGAAACATTTGTTGCGTAGTGATGTTTTGATAGTGCTGCTGCTGGCGCTGTTGTAACATTTGCTCCTCACGCTCACGGTCCCGCTGCGCCTGCACAGCATTCCAGACATCCTTAAGCTCGCCCGAAATGTCACGATCCTTGAGTATGACGGCGTTTCTGTATTAAATCAATATTATTATGAGTCCTCAAATGGAAAGGCAACAGCATACGCACCTGACTAGTTTCACGCCGGGATTCATAGCCTCCACAAAATCGCACATTAGCTCTACCATAGCGCGTCGTTCCTCGGGATCCTTGCTATGGCGTCCCGAGTCTTTGAGCACTTCAGGATTCGCCATAACGGCAAACACAATGGGTGGACTGCGCGGGCTGCCAGGCGGCACCTATTCAAACAAAATAATTAAAGAGCTGTAGAAGATTATCGTTGTAGTTTGTACTTACGCGCATGCCTCCATACAAAGGTATAGGATCACTGGGCTCCTGTGGTATGACAATACGAGTCCAGCTTAGCACATTGATAAACAACTCCTCGCCAGTTTCAGTGGTGGTGCGAATGCACATGTGGGGCTGTGGCGGGTTCTTGAAGTGGCGATAGGCTCGTGAGTGTCGATAGCTATGTGGTGGTGGCGATGATTGCATCAGTGTCATCCCCAACCCCAAATCGCCCTGTTGCTCTAGCTGTTGTTCTTGCTCCTGCTGTGCTTGTTGTGCATGTTGTTGCTGTTGCATTTGCGCATGCTGCTGCATATTATTATGCTGCAGCTGTTGTTGCTCCATATTAATGCTGTAGTTGTTGCTTGATGTCATAGTCTCAATGGTTTCTTCTAGGTCTATGCCAAATGTATTGGCTTCAGCATCATTGGCAGTGCTGTTATTGTTGCTTGTGTGTTCGTTATGTTGTTGTTGTTGTGGGTGTTTCGATTGCTGCTCCTGTGCGGAACTTTCAGTCTCAAGCTCCGCGGCCGACATTTTCGGTTTGTATTTGTTTTGTGGTTGTTATTATTTGAGTTGGTTTTGTTTGTTTATTAGTTTTAAGCAGTCTTTTGTTTTGCCCTCCTCTGCTGCTGTTTCTTAGACGAGGTTTTCGTGCTCTTCGCTCTTCTCTTTGTTCTTATCGTGTACACTCACACCAGCATGCGCTCTCTCTCTCTCTCGCTCTCGCTCTCTTATTGCTGTCGCTGACTTACAACATTACGGCGTCTTGGTCCTGTTTTCAGCTTAACTTTTGACCTTTTGCTCTTATTAATGTGTGTGCATATTACACGTCGCTTTCTTTGACATTTACTCTGCATATATATTTAATTATACATTGCCCGCAAATACAAGCCTTATCGTGCACGCACTAACACTAACATGCACACACACTAGCGCACAGACACAGCAGTCAAACACCCTTCACCCCTACAACACGTACAAGTGGGAGGAGTTGGTCGTTGTCGTTCTCGTTGTCTGCGAAAGAGTGGGGGAACATGTAACAAAAAGAAATCAAGTAAATGGTAAAAGTTCAAAAGCGCATCTGTATTTTCTTTTTTTATTGTTACACTTACACATTTCACGCGTTTTCATTAATAATAATGGTTTTCCAGTTTCATTGCACAATACACATACAGAAGCACACAATGTACATACATATACACACAAACAAAAACTGCGTTTCTGCTTCACATAATTTTTCCTCATAAATTGCTGCTGCCTACTGACTGCACTTAGAAAACAATGCACCGACAGACGGCCGCGCGCTGCGCTGATTTTTATATTTAGCTTTTTAGCAGCTTTTCATTGCGGCACACACACAGAACAGCCGAATTTTCCGACGACTTCCCAACATAAACAAAAAACTAATGTAAATGTATCCAGAGTGACCAGTCACCTGTAATGTGTATATTTCGTGCTGCCAGATAGTTAAAAATAGTGCTGCCAGATAGTTAAAAGCACAGTGTACCCACTGCCGGCGCATCAGAAAATTTTTCAGTGTGTGCACGCCCTTTGTATATTCTGCATTCTCTGCCGGTGTGGATATTTTTTGCAATCGAAAAGCAGAACTAAAAGCTAGAAATTAACACATCTAAACCTTAAAGTGTGAAAAATCAAACGAATTTATTGAAAAACTATTCGAAGTGCCGTAGTGTGCAAAGTAGATAAGGGTTCACCAATTGGGATTTGGCGCCGAAATAGTACATTTTTCTATTGCCATTCCGGCATTGTGTGGTGTGTATAACAAAATGGCGTCCTCGCAAGTCTCAAACAAATCGGGCTCCGGCTGGCCCCGGCGCGGTAGCCAAGGCCAAGCAGATGCCAGCATTAGCAACAATGGTACACAAAAATATGCTCCGAATCAAGCATTAACCATAAATCGCACAATCAATCTGTGAGTAGTGCGTTTATCCAGTTATATAGAAGAAAAATCTCAAACAAATTTGTTCAACCCTTTAGTTACCCATTAACGAATTACACATTCGGTACCAAGGAGCCGCTCTTTGAGAAAGATCCATCTGTGCCGTCACGTTTTCAACGTATGAGAGAAGAGTTCGATCGGATTGGCATGCGTCGCTCTGTAGAAGGAGTGCTCTTAGTGCACGAGCACGGTTTACCTCATGTACTCTTGCTGCAGCTCGGCACCACATTTTTCAAGCTACCGGGTGGTGAGTTGAATGCGGGTGAGGATGAAGTTGAAGGTCTCAAACGATTGCTTTCTGAGGTATGTTGGTAAAAAAAATCAACCAATGAACATATGAATAAAATGTAATATGCTTTTCAGACGCTGGGCCGTCAAGACGGTGTTAAGCAAGATTGGATTGTCGAGGACACGATTGGCAATTGGTGGCGTCCAAATTTCGAGCCACCGCAATATCCATACATTCCACCACATATAACTAAACCAAAGGAACACAAGCGACTGTTCCTGGTGCAGCTACACGAAAAGGGTAAATATCCAATCCGCTAGTCAAAGGTGTTTTTTCACAGCGTAGGTATTAATGATGGCAAAAAAAAAAGACAAGTACATATATATATTATACATATAACCTTGTATAAAGTTTTTGCCAAACCGATACGCTAACAAACCTCATGTCATATCTTTTCAATGCTGTTTAGATACGGACAGGAACGCCAGTTACGATGTACCTTGAGCTGTTCCATAATAGCGCCGTGTTGTGTTGTGTAATCTCACGCATCTGGCATCTGCCCAACCAAGCATAGAGCTCTTCCTCAACGCTCTACTCTCAAGAGTGCAAAACAAACAGAAATGAAAAGAATCAGAAACAGATCGCATAATGGCCCCGAGGCGCATATCATTTTAATTAGTTCGTCGATTCTAGTTCAAAACTTTTTGTACAAAACTTCAAATTGTATTTGTTGCTCTCTAGAGTTGTTGGCATATTTTGCGCATATCCCAAAATTCTTTGATTGTTCATGTTGTATTAATTTTGTAAATATGTCGACATTTCTGTAAGCCAGAGAGCGCAATCCTACACACGATACTCTATCTATCTAATTTGTTTATTCTTTTGGATTATGTGTTGAGCCGTTCTATTGTAATCGGGCAGGCAGTGAATAGTTTAGCTGAGAAGTGCATTGTAAAAGTTACCGGTTGTCGTCTGTTAATGCGCACAAATCTCGCGTGTTGTGCAGATTTGCGTGCATTGCAAATGCAACTGGACTAGGCAGGCAGTCGTTACCCGCTCCTTAAATAATTTTTAAGCACTCGTTTATGTAACAATTTAATAACTCTGTGTTTATAGTATTTCCTTGACATCATCCATTGTGCAACACTCGCACCTTGTATAATGTATGTTGCTTTTAATGGTAATTGAAATTATGTTCATATCTACTAGACTTTGTTTAATGCACAAAATGCTATCAGATCCAAGTGTATTAAATTATATATATGATTTATTTGGTGCATCAATAACGAAGTCTGGTAAATTAGGTTAACAAACTATAAATGAATGTAAAAAAAAAAAAGAAAGACCAATACAAACTTTTATATATCATACTTAATTAGGGCAGCGAATCTGTAAATTGTTTTATATAACCAATTGTAATTATTTAGTTATTTCAATAATCATGTGATTTACAACCCTTGTTATATGTAATGGTCTCTTCTACATACATAAATTCTGTCTCTATCGTTTTCTGTAATCTAGCACTATTTGCTGTACCCAAAAATTATAAGCTTGTTGCGGCGCCCCTATTCGAGTTGTACGACAATTCACAAGGCTATGGACCCATTATATCATCTCTGCCGCAGGCGTTGTGCAGGTAAGAATCGTATTGGCAGCGATCCTTTCTCCATTCCTTTTATTTTTAACATACTTTTAATCCTGTTACAGATTCAACTTTATTTATATGTAAGGCAGAGGCGGACCCCCATTTTTCCCTAGATAGGCTGCATCACCAACAATAGCTCTACTTTAAAAAATTTAAAGCACGACGTGCCCAGGTCGCCAGATGATTTCCATTTCATTTGTATATGTGTGTGTTTGTGTAGCAGATTAAATGCAAAAAGACCAAGCGTATTGTGGCTTGGCGTATAAATAGAGCTTGAAAGTTTTTATTTATTTTGGACTATTGGTTTTACTTAACTAGGTATTACAGAGTACATATTAATTGGTTCAAGAAAATTGATATTTTAAGTATGTTAGGGCCATTTATAGCATATACTCGCTATAAATCTGCTCGTAATAATCGCGTTTGCTGCAATGGAAGATACGCACAGTTTGTGATTATCAAAAGTATTCACTAATATCATAATATACTATGTTATGCATGTGACTGCTGTTAACTAAATTGAACTACAGACTGTAATTGATGCTGGACTAACATTTAACTGCGCTGTTGAGTGCGAGGGTGTAACAAATGAACTAATTAACAGAGAACTAAAGAGCATTAAAAGCCAACAACAAAAGTGAACTAAAACATGAAGGAACCGTTTGTGTCTGTATCTAGTATTTGTTAATAATTATATCTTAAATATTATTTGCTTATTCATTGGTATGCATATTTTATGTTTCATGACAAGTAAAAAAAATGTAAACATATTAGCAAATATTGCTTGCAAATCTATGCTGACTGATATTTCATGTAGAAGTGTTTACCACAATTTATTGTGATAGAATTTTAGATCGTTATAGCCCTGATCGGTCAAGCCGCCAGTTGATGACACTGTGGACATGGCATCTGTGTTATCCTGGGCGGGCGAAGTGACTTCATTGCCCAGAGGACGATTGATCTTCACTATACCAAAATCTTCGCGCTCCTCTTGATTGAACTCCATCTTGCCGGTTGGCATAACGGCCATGCCCACGCCAAAAGAGCGATTCTTCATACCAGTGTGCTGCTTGCTCAGCTGAAAAGCCGGTGCCCTACGATTATCCCCAATAATGCTTTCGGCGACCTCTGGCGAGCGCACTGTGGGTGGAGTTGGGGTTTTACTCTTGGGAGGTGGTGTTGGTGGAGTGATCACCTCCTCTGGCTCGGGCTCTGGTTCAGGCTCCGGATCTGGCTCCTGCTCCTGCTCCAATTCGTATTCGATATGGTTTTCAACCGTCTGCAAATGCTGCATTTGCAATTGTTCAGCAATTTCTGCAATCTCGTTGCCTCTGTTGGGAAAGTTAACAGAGGCTGTTAAATAACATACTACTTGGAGTATTAAATAAAAATTGAATTTAAGTTCATGTTGATTTTATTGCACGGCAAATGAAAATAAATAAAATATAAAAAAAATGCGATAATCGAAAGAGTAAAAGTTAAAATAAAAAAATTGACATAAATGTAATCACAATTATCAGGTATTTTGTGTGTGACGGTCGAGCGTTTGAACCAATGTGAGCGTGTGTGATATGTGTCTTAGTGATGTGGGTGTGCGGCGAGTGCAGCCTCCTTTCCTCTTCGTTATTATTAACTATATGATAAGGCAAAATTATAAATAATTTTCTATAAACAAATAAGAGCTTTGTACAATCGTTTAGTTAACATTATATTGTTTTGTTTTGTATGTAATGCAGCCACTGGTGCGTATGCGTAATTATTTGATTCTGAAAGATAACAAAAGAAAATTAAATGAAACCAAAAATGAAACACAGATCAAACCAAACGATAAAACATATACTCGACAAGTGTTAGTTAAGAAATATGAAGAAAGGTGAGCCAAACGGCTTTACCTGTTAGACTCTGCGCTGCCTCCACCGCCGCCCTTGCCGGAACTAGCGCTGCCAGCATGAATTATCTGCACGACAAAGAGATGAGAACGAATTATATTAGAGACAACACACAAAAAAGAACTGGGTCATATTTGCTTACTGAAACATTAGGGGTAGTATTAGATTATTTAGCCAAACCAAAAACCAAATGCAAATTAAATAGCTCGATTAAACTCGATTCATTTAGCTTAGCAGGAATACCTTTATAAATAGCCACTCGTACACACACGCATTTAAATCAAGGAAAACAAAAAGCTTTTCTATTATATTGTTTTAGTGGATAGCCCGTCTCCTCCACCGCCTTGAATCTAGCACAAGTGTCAAGCGAAGTTTTATTTTCAACACGAGTCGCCCTTAAAACAGCCCCTTGGCACGCAGCCAAAATAACTACTTCTTTTTAGGGGTTGACCCACAAAAATGAAATGGCCAACCCCAAAAGATTTTCGGAATTTGTATGAAATAAAATCTGTAGTTTATTTACAATGAAATTTCGAGTCAGGGCATGGTAGCTTTAGCTAATCTAACAGAAAAAGTAGTTAATTCATCTTTCGACTTTGGGCAGACTTGGTCGAAAAAGGTGAACAGGGAATTTTGTACAGCTATGTATATATGCATACATATGTATAATTAATATATATACTCATATAAATGTATTTATGTTGTGTTTTTGCTAGTTGTTGCTTGTTCATTTTGGCACTTGGTTAACTTCAAATTTGGATGCATTGTGAGCCAACACACACACACGCAATCGCATCTAAATTTCCTCAAATTGAATTTCGTATGCCAAAGATCACACAAGAATTCAATTTTCCATTAATGATATCGAATTTGTTTTTTTTTTTTTATGGGTCGTTCCTGATTTTTGGTCATCATTGCATTGGCATACCGGCATCGCCATGGCCCAGCTCAGGTGTGCGCACCAGGTAAATGGTTGTCTGGCAATTGGGGCATGTGGTGCACATCTCAGCAGCCGGTGGCACAGCATTAGCCGCCTGCGAGGGCTGTGGGAATAGGTGGTTTATCAGTTCAGTGTACAAGCATTTTCTATGCAACATCAATTTACGTAGCCCTGTTGCGGTTGTTGGTATTTGCGTGGCGACATCTGCGGCGGTGGCTGCTGCTGCTGTTGCTGTTGCATTGGCTGCTGCTGCTGCATCTGTGCTTGAGCTTGAGCTTGACCTTGTCCCTTTGCATCCTGCTGCACCATTTGCTGCTGCTGCTGCTGCACTTCCGGTTGCTGCTGATGCTGCACATGGGCTCGTCCACTTGGATAGGGATCATGGCGAGTGGGCTGACCAGCTGCCGGTGGCTGCACATATTGTGGCGCCTGTTGATTCTGCTGTTGCGGCATCGATTGCTGCGGCTGCTGTGCGGGCACTGCCAATGGCGGCTGTTGTGGCACCGCTGCAGGCGGCTGCTGTTGCTGCTGTTGCATTTGTACTTGTGCCGGAGCAATATTGCCGAGAGCCTGCTGTGGTGTCGGAGCAGCCTGCGGCGGCTGCTGCTGCTGCGGCTGCTGCATTAGAGGTGGCTGCTGTTGCTGATATTGCACCTGAGATTGCAGCGGCTCTTGGCCAGAGGCGACACGTATGGGTGCGACAGCAGCATTGGCAGCCGGCTGCTGAGTGCCAGCCACAGGCACATTACTGGCTTCCAGACCCGAGTGACGCAAGCGTGAGGGACGAGCAAAAGCGTTCGAGGCCAAGAACGATTCGTCCACATCCTGCAAGCCTGAACGGCGCTGGAACGGATCCTGGCGATAATTCATGCGACTCAAAGCATCCAATGGACTCTTGCGTGGCTATTATTAGAGGTTTCTCTTTTAATTGACTACGACTCTAAAACCTAATTGCCGTGGCAGCAGCTTACATTCTCCACGTTCTGCCTGGCCTGGCTGGGCGTTAGGCTGACCTCGCTGCCGTATTTGCGTGCCACGTTAGCAGCATTGGCCGGCATACCAGCAGCATGTCGCGACTGCAAGTCAGAGTAGAGCTAGATGCAAAACACTCGGAAACACTTCAGCAATCTCAACTTACGGCAACGCTCGTCCTGGAGGCGCCTTGGCGAGCATTTCCACGCTTTTGATCCATTTCAGATCCTTTTCAATTTCAATTTCAATTATAAAATTGGCGCCTTAAATAGCACACAAAAATTACGCGAGCGTAGAAAAAATTTTTTCTTTCAGATTTTTTTCTGATTTTTTTTAAAATGACGCAATCGAAATAATTTTTATGATTTGTTCAGAAATTAAAACAAAAATTCGTTGTGAATCGTGTGAAGTAGAAATGTTAACTAACTCCTATTGAACATTTCAATTCAGTAGCAAACAGAAGGCGAACGAGGCCTACTATGATTATAATGATTTTACTCTTTGGCTTAAATAAAACAAAAAAGCAATTCCAGGCAACAAAAAGAAACAATTGAAGCAAAAGGTAAGCTCTTTGGCGCACTCAAAGTCCACTCATAACTGTTAAACTTGAAAGGTGAGAAAAGTGTTTTAATATTTGAGTACCTCGGCCATGCTGCATGTGGGTCGCGGTGCGCCGTAACGTCCATTGGGTGAGATCTGTGTTATTTGCTGCAGCAGTGCCGCCTGCTGCTGTTGTTGCTGTTGCTGGTGTTGCTGTGACTCGCTGCCACGCCTACCGAAACGCTTTTGCTTGGACGTCTCGTCGCCCAAGTAAGTGGCCCCAAAGAGTTGTGTGTTAGGACTTGATTGATGCATGGATGGATTGATTGATGCATTTGATTGTTGTTTGTTTGTTTGTTGATGTTTGTTGTTGTTGTTGTTGATTAACGTTAGTAGGCAGGCGCAACATGTGAATTGAAAATAATTAATATTTAGTATATTTACTTAATTACATAGATATGCATATTATTACAATTATAATTAGTTACTTTTAATACGTTTCGCTCAACTTGATAGCTGAATATCGTGCTCAGCCTATATAAATATTAATTATTAAAAATCTCGTGATAAACTCCTATAAATATTAATAGTAAAAGAAAGGTAAACTTGAACTTGCCTGATTGTATGAATTATTGAAGCGAAAAGTTGATTTTTAAATTGTACTAAATTTCTCTGGCATCTAAAATCAATCAAGTAATTTCATATAAATATATTTCTGCTTCCAATTTTCTATTAACTATTTGCCATTTACATTCACTCATTAATCAAAACGACTTCAGACTATATCAAGTTGTGCGAAACATATCATATACATATAACCAAGATATAGATACGGTTAAGATTAGACTTAATATGTATATATTTATGTATATATATAAATAGTTTTGTCTAGTGAAAGCGCAAGCAACAAGCCACCGTTAATAGATTGCATACAATTGTTTTGTAAGGCTTATTTATCGATAAATGCTCTTCCGCAGGCGATCAATTTTATCGCAGACGCCCACTAATGAAACCGGCACACAAACAATTGGGTGAATTGTTGAGTCGGATGTTTGCGTGCGATATGCAAATGTTGTTGGCCAAGAAATGGGCAACAAAGCCAACGGAAATGTTTCCTGCAAGGCGCAATGCCTCAATTAACCCACTGCCCTGCCCAGCCCTGCAGTGCCCTGCACCGCCCCCATTTAACTCACCTGTTTGTAATGTGCAGCCCGTTCTTGGTGCGCTCCGGCGATGCGGCATGTCCATTACGTGAGCCATTCTGACTAGCATCGTCCCCGAAAAATCCCTCATAGAGTACGAAATTATTTGCCTGCGGTATGGTGCGTACCAGGCCGTAGTGCTTTCTCAGAAATGCGAGCAACTTCTCGGACGGCCGATCTACGGAACATTTCACTGGTGTCCATTGCTCCTCATTCAACATGGTCTCGAACAGGCGCTTGCCCAATCCTGCACGCTGACGTGACTCGTGCACGTAAAAGTCCAGGATTGAGGGCGACTGCTCCATCTTGCGAGTCTGACCCTTCTCGTCGAACAAGTAGAGATCCTTAGTGCCGACCTTGAGCAGGCCAATGACAGCGCCGCTATACAAAGAGAAGATTCCGGTATAGATAATGATCATGGATAGTGATAAGAGTTGATAAGTCGACTTACTTGTGGCCTGCCTCAGTGTCCGCTAATAGATAAATGGTCTGGTTCTCCGACATACGCAGGCGTTGGGCCGTTGTTACTGGCTTGTTCAGGCCCTGCGATATGGCCGACAACTGACCTAATCGATCAATTATCTCGGACATCTTTGAGGTGGCATCTCTGTGGGCGTGAGTGTGGAAAGCGTAACGGTTAATTGACTTACGACTCGAATTGGGTATACTGCCCGCGTACAGTTTCAATACTCACAAGCACTGACGCCGATCCCCTCGAAAGGTGTGCGGCAGTAGATTCGATGCCACTTTTATAATTGGCTGCGGAAACAGCGGCTTAATATCGAAACGGAATTCCACCATAATTGCGACCGCCGATGAGCGAATGGATCAACTGAAAATGCAATCGAGAAGGCCAATTAAATAGAGCATTGCAATAAGGCGCGTTTCAATTTGATTATCAACTGCTTTTTGGCTGTCGTTGTCGGTGTTGTTGTTGTTGCTCTTGCTGGTGGCGCATCTAATTTTGGGTGCGACCTCACGTGGGAATCACCGCACCACATGCCATTCAGCCAGCTAGCTAATTCAGCGGTTAGGAAATAAACGTCTACTAGGTGTGCTGACAGGCAAATTGCCATAAATAAGTAACAGTCTTGAGCTGCGCTACCTCTGCCAGCCTACACGCCAACCGATAACGGTAACCGTGCAATATGCGTATACATACAATACAATACGTTACCGGTGTCATTAAACTAATGTCTGTGGGTGGAGGAGCATGGGAAAGTGGAACACAATGCGGTTACAAAACTCCTTTATGGCTAATTTGCGAGTGCAACGAACTGATGCCGACAGAAAGAGAGCGATAAGCGCTTTTGTAATTACAATTGAGTTGAGCGGGGCGGGGCAATCATTTCGAGCGCATGCAAAACTTTTTGCCTCTGCCACTTTTTGAGTAGTTTTGTCAGCCACAAACTTAAACAACAACAGGCTGCAATTGCAGTCAGCGTCAACGCTGCAGTCGGCGTCACTGCACAGCGCAGTTCGAATGTCAAAATGCGATAGCAACAGCAGCAGCAACAGCAACACCGCACAAATGACGTGTTTGCACGGTGCAGCATAGCCCCCAGCAGAGAGGGGATTGCCTTGCAGTTGACGTTCTTGTTGTTTATTTGCCCAACAGCAAACTGTTGACGTTGCTATACATTGCCTATCTCCTTCTCTCTTTCTCCACAAAGTGCTTTCCATAAGCCAAAGCGCATGATCTAGAGCAAAAACAAAAACAAAAGCAAGAACAAGAACAATGCAATGAGACTCATAAGGAGCGAGCGCGGGTTACCTTCGGCTCTTCTTGTTGCTCCCCTTTTAAGCTCATCCGTCTTACATACAAATCAGACATACAAACATACATACATATGTGCGCTTTTGTAAATGTGTCAAGTAAATGTGTATGTGTGCTTGCGTGTGTAAGCATGCGAACAGGCAAAGGAGCTAATATCGCGTGTGAACGGCACATGTGAACGAGTGTAAGTGAGAGAGTATTATACACATACATATATACATGTTCGTACGCGATCACAGCGACTACTAGCAAACCGTTAATCAGCAATAAATTCAGTTGGAAACAAAACGCTTGACAACTTGCATTTTTGTTTAATCGAAAACAAATCAATTATAAACCGTCAGACAGATCACAAATATAAATGTTTTGCTTGTGCAATTAATAGTTGCACGCCCTGTGATGAAATTAAATATAGCAATTGCACGGCCTTCTGTCTAGCCACCTAATTATTTTTTTATTTTCGTCTAGCAGCTGATTAGTCGCTGACTGGAGGAAAAAACCAAGCCCTCGCCTGAGGCTTGCGCCGGTGCCTCATAGCCTAGGGTAACCCCCTCCATGCCATGCCCTGCTCTGCATCAAGTTGTTTGTTGTGGGCGTGTATTAAATACATACACACTATATAGTAATATGATTCTATACATACATATGTATGTATGTACATCCATATGTATGTAAACAACGACATCTCGATTACAATAAATAGACGTCAACGTGCATCAATAATTTACCGAGTGACTAAACTGAACTATATTATGTACATAGGCGTATTCTATTATCAAACCTTAGTCACACACGCGTGTCTGACCAAAGGCCAATACAAATAATTTGTATTCAATACGTACATACACATGTGTGTGTACATATGTATGTACAGAGACCATTATAGAGCCTAGTTTTGTCCTGACACGACAGAAATTGAGCTAGCCAAAAGCAAAAGACTTGGGTCAAATTTATGCAGCAACAAGGTCAATCGATAAATGGAAAGCAAGTTGCCAAGGTAAGGGAAAAGTTTGACGCCCAACAACCGGTGCTGTTGAATTTCTGACAGGTGTTTGTTGTCCAAGGCAACAAGGAGCAACGACGGCCTGGCAATTAAAACTTAATTTTTAACTATAGTGTTCAATTGAAGTCGTTAGCTTTTTTGATCTTGCAATGTGCACGCAACGGGATTTATCGTTATCGAAGCCAGTCAGCAACAAAGTGCATAATCACTGGCAATGAAATATATTTGCGGTCTCGGGCTGTTGTTGTTTACAGCACGCTTCGCAACCGACCTGAACAATGATCAAAACAACTTGTTATTCTTCAAAACAACAAAAAACCACACCAACAACAACAACTGCATTTAACCACAGCGACTGCAATTCCATTTTCATTACTTACTGTTTTTGTTTGCTTTGCACGCGCCTTGTGATAGTTTTATCTACCGGGCAAAACGGACGGCACAAAACGAGAGAGGGCGCGAGAGAGAAAGAGAAACTGCGAAGAGTAGAGCCAGCGCTCAGCATGATACGTTTTTTGACGTAACATGTAACGTAAAACTTTATTGCATCAGCCCTCAGAACGCGCCCCTGTATATTAATGCACACATGCACATTTAATATAAATTGATATATGCATTTATGTATACTATATTTTATATACTACACTATATTTTCTCATCAATGAATTATTTAAAAAAAAGAAAGTCGTCTGTATATGTATGTTGATTCAGCCATCAACTTGACCACAAAATACGCTGTATAATGCTTTCCATAGTAGAAATCTATCAATTGATAAGACAACACAATTCCGGTTCTCAAAAACACGAAAATAACTCCTGCGCTCAAGGTTTTCAGCAGTACAAATTCGGCATCCGATTTCTTACACTCTAATCAGCAATGTTTTAATGGCCCGCTTATGATAAGAGACGAACGCTAGACATCAATAGGTCGCAAAACCGGCTCAATCCGGTTTCAATAAGCACTCGAGCAGTAAGTGACACTTTTTTTTCTTCATCGATTAAGATTGTGATAAAGACAAACAAACATACATCGCTTGTCTCACTAGCGAGCGGCTGTACAAAGGTTAGCTCACGCATTGGAACGAAGAGAATTTGGAACATACAAAGTAGGTGAGCTGATAGTCGGTGCAGAACCTATATCTATGGCAGCTGTTTATCGACGAACATTGTAAGTGTAACACTCACTCACACATACAAATAAACCAGCTGAGTTGTAATTGGCAGCTATCGTATGATCGCCTCTCAAGCACATGCACAGACGCATACACGCACACAAACAGACTGGTCAGCGTCGCGACACTTCGTCTGTTAGCTACGAGAGAGAACGAGAGAGCAGGGCAGCAAACTAAGGCGGCGCTGCACTTGTATTTGTTTGTTCAAGTTTTCTTATAAAGGCGCGCACACTGACTATTGGAAAATCAGTTGCAAGAGGCCAGTCAACGCGTATAGATCGGAACGATCGAATACAATTTACAAAAATACAACTTAATACAAATCACAGCGCCATGTCAAGCTGAACAACTGAAAAGAAAACAGAAACAAAAAACAGCTGAGCAGAACGAAACGCGCGTGTGCAAAAATAGAGAACAAAATATATGCGTATGTATATATAAATATATACACACACAAATATTTACAACGGAAAATTTTGAGAAGCGAATAGCGTGTGAAAGACGCAGAATCGTAACGTAAGCGTAACCACGCAACAGCCTTTACGTAATTAACAGAGTCAACGTGATATCCATTCGAAAAATGAGCAGCTCAGTGTTAAGCATGGTACGTCCAAGTGCTGCCACGAACGGCTGTGCAGGCCCCACAGCAACAGCGACAGCCACTCTGCTCGCCCAGCAACTAAACGCGGCGCTTGCTAGCGGTAAAAGTACTGTAGCCGCTACGCAGCCAAAACAGCCGCTGCAGGCAGCCAAGATAATAAAGCAATCGGACATCGTTTGTTTCGACGTCGACTCAACTGTCATCTGTGAGGAGGGCATCGATGAGCTGGCCGAATTTTGCGGCAAGGGCAGCGAAGTGGCCCGCGTAACCAAAGAAGCCATGGGCGGCAGCATGACCTTCCAGGATGCGCTCAAGATTCGCCTGAACATCATTCGCCCGACACAACAGCAGGTAGCCGAGTTCATCAAGCAACGGCCCAGCACACTAAGCCGGAATGTGAAGCGATTTGTGGCTCAGCTGAAGGCGGACGGCAAGCAGGTGTATCTCATATCTGGCGGTTTCGATTGCCTCATCGCCCCTGTGGCCGCAGAGCTGGGCATTCCACTGAGCCACATGTTCGCCAACAAAATGCTATTCGACTACAAGGGCGCCTACGACAGCTTCGATGTCAACCAGCCCACATCTCACTCTGGCGGCAAAGCGGAGGCAATTGGCTTGATTCGCAAGCAGCAGCCAGCAGACACACTAATCACAATGATTGGAGATGGTGCCACCGATTTGGAAGCTGTGCCACCGGCAAACAATTTCATCGGCTACGGCGGCAACGTGGTGCGAGCGGAGGTCTACAGGCGCGCCCAGTATTATGTAACAGACTTTGAGCAGCTGATGTGAAGGTGGAGGTGGGAGAGGTCAACCACAGCGAATTTAGTATTGCAAATCGGCGTGTTATAGTTTCTAGAGCAAATAAATTAAGTATATAAGCCTACATAGAAATAAATAAAAATATATATATATATACATTTAAATACAATGATAATGTGTACATGCGAGTGCATAAGTTTATAGCCACTTGGAAAACAATAAAAACGGCAGTTAAATGTAGAGTAACAATAGTTTTGTACATTGTTTTAATACTTTCCGAAAGCAATGCAAAGCCTTGCTTGAAGGAACAGCTGCAAGACCACATTTTAGTATTGCAAAAACAGATGATGACATAGCTGGCGCAGCAAATCAGTCAAGCAAAAAATAAAATCATAAATACATTACCAAAAATATTCTAGAAATTACGCTATTCGCACCACTGTAAATATTTTTATTTACATACATACGTACATACATACATGTGAGTATACAGTTTATTGCCTTCTCCAAGAGCATTTAACAGCTCTGTTAAAAAGCAGCGCAGTGCTGTGATGACACTTTCTATTCGGCTCTGTAGTTGCTGTTACAGTATCATTAAAGCAGGGCATGAAATGGAAGCAAGAGTTCGTCGCGCTCTCTTTTAGGGTAATAATAAAAACAAAACTAAATCAAAGGTTAAAGTCATTAAGCACACTTTCTAAAGGCAATCAAACTACATATTGGCCAACCGGCGCTCCCATTTATGTCATTAACAATAATTATTTTAAACAGCATTTATCTAAAACAAAACTCAGACAAGGCCGTGGTTGTGTAGGTGTTATCGACAGCCGTAGATGCTTACCGGCATGTTGTTGTTTGAGGGTCAACGTCATTTGTTTTAATTTGAGCCTGCTCTACTCTGGCGCCATATTAGGAGCGAATCGGCTGCTAATTCAAACAGCAAAGGCGTGAATTAAGGCCACATTAGATGTCTGGACCGTTGGGCGGTCAGGTTTGAAACGCTTAGAGCAGCAATTAGCGGAAGCCACCAAAAAAAAAACCTATGAGATCACCAACAACAAGAACTGCGTAAAAGCTAATTATGTTTCCAGCTATGGCTTACATACAAGTGTATTTCTATAAGTGTGTGCGTGTAAGATTCAAGATTTCATGGGGCTACCGTTATGACGTAGTCTATACGGCTACAAATGTCTCATGCAAATGACTCACACACACAGTTTCGGCTATGTCGCTATATGTGTGTTTGTCGTATCTGTTCGTGAGTGTGTGTGCATGGGACTGCTATAAAAATTACTTCAACCTGCAAATGACGTAAAAATGGTTTTATGCTCACTGAGCCGCATCCAAAACGGCAACAGCCGCACGCACACACAAACATACAAGTATTTACACAGACAAAAGAAGCTAGTAGCAGAAAGTTTGATAAAATGGCAAATAGCTCAAAAAAAGCAATAAACTTACCACAATAATAATAAACTGCAAGCACACTGATTTTATTTATTTTATGGTCAGACGCCGTATGAACACTCCAATCAGATTCCAATTGCACGGCTGCTGTTGCGTTGGCGTAACCGCTGCAGAGATTTGCGTTTTCTTGGTCCGAGGGTGTTTGACTGCAGTTGCGACTTTGGAGCGGGGGTGTTTGTCCGTTGAGTTTCTTATGCTGCCTTTATCGATTGTCAATTTAGGTCTTTGAGGCCAAAACTTAAATAGTTTCACAATTGTTTCTTTTGAATCAGATTTAACTAAATTATTGTTATTTAAAAAAATCTATTGTCTCAAGATTGTGGCACAATAATCTCAACAAATACCGCTCAATAGTTAATACACCAACTAAATATAATATATATTTGTTGTTTTAATTTAAGATATGCCGATTTTTATTTACTTCTGTGAGCTTAAGATGACGGCGTTGCGGCTCTGAAAACAATTTCTGTGTATGTATATGCCCCGCTTGAAAACACAGAAAACCGACACGCACGATTTAGCGTCCGAGCAAACGTTGTTGTATGCACGAGAGTTAAACAAGATATAAGCTTCACAGTGAAGCTTTATCGTGCCACAAGCTTTTTAACTAGCAACAAGCTAAGCCAAGAAGTTGATTATAGCAGCTGTTTGTTGTAGAGGTTGGCCGATAAATAGTAAACAGACTGAGGCGGATGTGCGATAAATGTATCAGTGTTGGCTGGGCACATTGGCAGCAGCACTGTTATATATATATACAACTAGTTAAAGGCATAATTACCAGCCATTAAATTGTTTTTAGTCAAATATTACTCTCATATATAATACAAACCTCATACAATGATATTTCAATGGATTTGAATATAAAGGATTCTGTTAAATAACAGCTGCTATCGAGCCAAATGAACGCCCTCTCAGAACTAAGAGTTCGTTCATTTAGTTAAGTGAGTCATTCGATCGAACTTATTCCGAACGGCTCAATACAACTCTACAAACAAAGGACGCACAGGACGCATACACGAAATACGCATACAGAAACGAAATGCCACGGAATGGCGGCGATGCCGGCAACGGTGGCACAGGCTCAAATGCCACCAGCGATGGCTGCATCTATCCCGATGATGTTATATTGGAAAAGGGCGTAACATTCAATGTACGCTACACGGGCTGCGTTGAGGTCAAGACCTCCATGAAATCGCTGGACTTTGAAACGCGAACGCTGCTCGCACGGTAGGTGAACAAAAATGAAAAAACAAGAAATTAAACTTCAACAAACAGCCAGCTGCTAACCGCGTACAACAATTTCAGGGAATGTATTAACCGAGTATGTGAAGCAGCTGGTCTTAAGTCTGTGAGCAAACGGCGATTGAACAAAAAGCTGCACAACTTCATCTCGGATCGTCCCAGCATGGAGCATGCGGGCACCAACATAATAATTAACGTATCCAGTCGTGCTTTAACGTTGAGCAATGTGGAAACGGGCGAAGTGATTGCCAGTCACAATATGCCTCGGATATCGTTTGCTTCCGGTGGTGACAATGACACTCTCGATTTCTTGGCCTACATTGCGAAGCGAGAGGGCGACGAATGGCGTGCCTGCTATGTGCTGGAGTGTGCAGGCGGACAGAGCGAGGATCTGATTGTGACCATTGGGAAGGCTTTTGTGTTGCGATTCAATGCGCTGAGCAGACAGAATTGTGCAGGCGCAGGAGCAGCAGCTGGCACAGGCGCAGCTACCACAGATAACATTAATCTGAGCTGTAAAGAGAATGTTAAAGAGTATTACAATGACTTACCCAACAAGCTGCCGCCGGATCTGCCTTGCGATGAGCAACAGTTGCAACCGCAACAGCCTTTGGTACAGACACAAATACCACTTCATCCGCATGCTCCTCGTGTCGCCCAGTTGAATTTGAAGAAGCCGCGAGATCGCTTGAGCAGCAATCTTATCGATCTTAACTCCCCGCCACCCGATCAAACCACCAACAAACATTCACTTGGACATTTCGATCCGCTGCAGGCAGGCTCTGTTGCGTCGGGCGTGGCCCCAAATTCCATACGCGACGTGTTCGATGGGCCGCAGTGTCCGCTCACTGCTGAAATCTGGTTCCATGCGGCCATCTCGCGTCCCATCGCCGAACGCCTGCTGCAGCAGGATGGCGACTTCCTGGTGCGCGAGTCTCAAGGCAAACGCGGGCAATATGTACTGACGGGATTGGAGGGGAAGACACCTAAGCATCTGTTGCTCATCGATCCTGAGGGCGTGGTGCGTACCAAAGATCGCATATTCGACAGCATCAGCCATTTGATCAATTACCATTGGGTCCATGCACTGCCCATCATCTCGGAGGATTCGGAGCTGGTCTTGCGTAATCCGGTGCGCAGACCCAACTTGGAGCAATCAACTGACAATGCATAAGCAACATATACAAGTCTACATATACCCCCTATACATATATTTATATCAATATATATATATATATATATATATATATATTTGTGTACACGCTTAGATTTACATATGTGCACTCGTAGAGAATATCTTTTATATATCGTCGTATCATTGTATAAAGAACAAACCCATTTATTTATGGATCGAATGTATACATATTTATATGTGCATGTCTACACAGTATTTTTCATTAAAATGAAAATAAACCAACCAAATGCATTTACTTAATCGCAATCCAAAGACAACACAGTTATTGATTTATAATGTTTGCATTTCACACACTTGATGTTTGTTTATTGTGCTCCAATGCAAGGTTTTCTCTTTTTATAAAACAGGCATCTTTAAAGGATCACCATCTTCCGATCTAAACCTAATTGCGACGTCCAAAGTTGTTGGTGTTGGGCTGGGTCAGCTGCAGGCCACGAATGTTGTGGAAGTCCAACAGCTTCAACATCTCCTTGGTATCGGCATCGACCTCAATGATGTCCTGCTCCAGAGCCGAGACAGCGGGCACGTAGTTATCACGACGCTCGCGCTCCTCCTCCTGCAGCTTAATGGAAATACCACGCACCTGGGAGTGACGCAGACGGCCCATCAAATGCGTAACATAGCTACAGGGATTTATATAAAAGCAACAATTAGTATTGCAATCCCACCTACAGTATTAACAGCAGCTTCTACTTACCCGGCAATCTTGTTGCGGAGGGGCTTGGTGGGAATGATAGCAACCTCCTCGCAGATACGCTTGTTGGTGTGGAAATCCAACGTCAAGCGTGTGTAGTACTTCTCGATGATGACCTTGGCGGCCTTCTTCACTGTCTTGGTTCTGACGCGACCCTAAATTTTAAAGTGAAGAGGGTTGGAATACACAGATTAGTTTACGGTTGTATACACACATAAACAATCAAGATTTTGAGCCAGTTCTTTGATTGGCCTGAATGAAATTTCACTACGCTCAAGAGCGGCACATATTTGACCACAATAAGCTTCACATATTTTTGCTTTTAGTGCAATGATTGCAGTTTTAAATAAGGTTTTTATTCGAGTTTTGGCATTCAGACACCCACCATTGCGAACGTTGTTACCGGAAAAGAACAGAAAAGAGCAGCTGTCAAAATTACATCTTTTGTGTGAATTGCACGCACAGGGTTGTATGCGTTAGCGACTATCGAAAACATTCGTGACGGTGCGAATGGCTAATAGAAGAAACATCGCGGTTACCAAAGTAACGGAAACAGTGCAAATTTATTTGATTCGCAATTTTCAAATAATAATTGGGTCATCCAAATGGAAAAGTTAAGCAATAATGATGAGGAAGGCGCTGCTGCTGCATCATCCAACTCAAATTCGGAGGAACAACAACAGCAAGCGGGCAATAGCAATGGGAGTGCAAACGGTTCCGATTTTCAAATCAGTTTAAATGATTTTCTCGATTTTCTCAAACTTTCCTGTCACGTAAACGATATGATAACAAAAGTTGAAGGCAAACCATATAATCGGGAACCCGTGCCACCCGCCGAGAGTCTAGCTGGTGTCTTCCCGAAGCGAAATTCAAAAAAAGAAGAATTCGATTTCAATAGTTTGGCCGAAAATGAATTGGTTAATGAACTCCTGGGCCTTAAGCGTTCCAAACGCAATACGAGCAGCAGTAGCCTAACCAACGGTAGCACCAGCAGCAGCCGAGATGAGGGCAGTCGTACGAATCTGCTGCTGCCGGATCCTAGGTCCTCAATGCGCTCTGGACACATTCACAGCGAGCGTGGCCTACATCCAAAACTACGAGAACAACTGGACTATGTAATCAACGAGGGTGTGTTGGACTCGGTGCTCTCCTTCATCTGTCCAATGCCCTTGCCTGTCACCTTGGCTCCCAACGGCGGGCGGGGAAAGGCGACCAAAGTGCCATCGTCGCAGCCATTGCAGCTGGTGAAGGCAGATCCCATTTCAAGCTCAAATAATTTGACGACGCCCAACTCGAGCTCGCCCAACGCTCACTCGCCCAGGGAAAGCCCATCGACTGAGATGCACAGCGGCAACAGTGTGGTACGTGCGTCCGTAAAGGAGCCAATTGGCAAAGCATCATCTAGCACAGCCACACGACGCAAATCCCTGTTGCTGGTCAAGGACAGTAAGCATTCGCGGCAAGACAAGAAGGAGTGAGTGTATGAAAATAAATATGTACATCGTTTGATCCCCAAATCCTTTTAGATCAGAGGTCGTCATCCACGTGTGCGACGAGGTGAAGAACACCTCGCGTGACTTCACCTGTCCGCAGGGCCTGTTGGTGAGCAAAATGGGCTACTTTGCGGATGTTACGGCCGGGCAGCGTCTGGAGGAGATGGACATATCGGTCCACTGTGACATACAGATTTTTGACTGGTTGATGCGCTGGATCAAGCACAGTGCCCAGAGCCAGGAGCTGCCGGCGCCGGGTCAATGCAGCACCTCGGGCCCCCAGCTGGATGGCAACAATGTGGTGCCCATTCTGGTCTCGGCCAGCTTTCTGCAAATGGAGCCACTGCTGCTAGAGTGCCTAGCCTTCTGTCATGCCCATCTCAGCGAGGTGGTGCGCACTTCGACGAATTTGTCGTGCCTTAATGATGCCCTAGTCACCCGTTTGGCTGCCATGTTCACTAACCTGGAGCTGGAGATGGTGCGCGACAAGAAGGAGCGTGTTACGCCTAGGCTGTGGACGAAGCTCGTGCAAAGCCTTTGCGAGCCAGATCCGGAGGTGCTGCGTGGACATTTCTATAGCATCTCTGGACTGTTTCGGTGCGTGCGCTGCTGTCGCTGTGTGACTAATACGATGAAGTCCCACGTGAACTGCTTGCCAAGCAACATACGACTCAATCGCTGGGGCCAGCTGGTCAGCAACCATGTGCGCGATACCAACTGGGATCTCAATGTGTATGTGATGCAGCTGTTCAAGGACCTCAAGTCGTGGCGCAAAGTCTACTGGAAACTTTGGGGTCATTGCCACTACCTGTATTGCTGCACTTGTGAGGCTCACTTCCCGGTCTATCAAATGAGCTGGTGTCGCTATCATCCGGAGCCACCGAGTTTTCTAGGTCCCGACGCCGAGGGACGCATTGCCGGCCCAGCTGGACGCTACCCTTGCTGCAAGCAGCAGGCATTCCGCTACGAAACGTTGCCAGGTCCCAATGTAAAGCATGTCAATTGCTGACGTCTTTGAACAATTTCTATTTAATGTGCTTTATGCTGCCTTGCAGGGCTGTCAGTTCCGCGAGCACAGCGTGCTGGTGGACACAGATCGGGAGCGTGCGATCCTGGCCATTGCCCAGCTGGTTGGTGAGAACTACGCGCTGAGCGAGCAGCCACCGTTGCATCTGCAGGAGCTAGCCGCTGCGGGTGAGATCAGTCCCAATTGGTTGGGCATCTCGTTGACGCCACAACGTTGCCGCCAGGGTCTATTGCCGCAGCTCTGCATGGACAGTGGGTTATGGTTTCCTCTCTAAACATATGCATCTCTTTGATCATCCAACTCAATATCTCTCACAGTGACCAATCATCGTGTGAGCCGACGCTGTCGCTATGAGAATGAGACGAGCTCCGAGTCGGACAACAACTCGACCAGTTCCGAGGATACGCGTCTGCCACGTGTACGCAATCGCAATGCGCTGCTCGACGATGATTACTCCTCAAGCAGCGATGGCTGCGAGTCGGATCATCGGCCACCGCCGCGCAAAGCACGCGGCAAAAAGAAACGAAAGCGGTAAATAGAGAGGGAGAGAGAGAGAGAGTTATGCATACTTATCTCATTATTATCAATCATCTCTCATTTATTGCTCGTCTCTCGCCTAGGCCGGCTGCTGTCTCTGGGCGCTTCTGGTCGGGCGAGCTGTCGGCGCGCAGCAATCAGGACCATCAGCGTGACTTTGAGGAGAAGATCATGAAGCAGGTGGCCAGCTACGTATCCAAAAAGACGGGCCCCGATCAAAATTCGGCGCACAGCACCCAGCCCCTGGGCGGCACTTATGTGCGACTGGAGACCGAGTGGAAGGAGATGCTCAAGCAGCGTCACAGCAACCACAACATGCCATCTGGCAGTGCCAGCAGTGCGGGCACTGCTACTGGAGGCGTTGGCGGCTCGGGCTCATCGGGCAACAACATCAACAATCAAAATGTTCACGCTGGCCTGGGCGGCGCAGTGAGCAACATGATCGGTGTTCCGGGCGCTGGCCAGCTGTCCAAGCAGAAGCACAAGTAGACTCCTAAATCGAATGGCAAATAAAACGTAGACAATATTAGAAGTAGAAATTGTAGACAAATGTGTTTAGCCAAAGAGTTCTACACTATGCAACAAGAGCGACAAAATTATTCAAGTAGACATATTCGTGATTTGTAGAAAAGTGCATTAATCAATTTTGGTCTAGAAAATATTATAAATTAATGCAAAGATTACGTAAATATAGTCAAATTGAGCAAACGCTTTAGTATTCATTTTTTATTGTTGCATAGTGTTATTTAATGCAACTAATCAATAGATTCACCTTTATGCATTTCTTAATATTTGTTTATTATTTAACTTAACGCAATTTACAAAGATTTTTATTATAGATCGTTTTTTTTTTTAACTTTAAAATTAATTTTCTTACGTTTTGCTTGCGTCGGCTAGCGACATAAATAAAATCGGGATAAAGGTTACAAATAATATGTTTATTAATTTTAAATGTGTTTGCAATTCATTTCTTATGTCTTGACTCAAATTAGCATATTTCTCCTTTCATTCTGTTGTTGTTGTTGTCCTCGCTTAACAATAAATGCGGCTGCACAAGCGGAACCCTGGGTCCTATTTCTATCATAAAAATATATATTTAATCAAATGTCGTGGGCGGGCTGTGCCTCAGGCTCAACCAGTAGCAGGAAACGCAACACAATCTTAAATATTTCAATGTACTGCATACTTGAACAAAGAAATAAATAATGAATTCCACACTAGGAAAAAGAACAGCTATTGGGCCGAAGCCGGAACTCACTTTTATTATACTTTACTTTTTGTTGTGAGATGGAAAACTCGCAGGGAAAATGCGATTTGGGCAAGTGAGAACGGAAATGGACCGCCAGCTTTTCCTTTTTTTTTGTTTTTTGTTTTTACAGTTGCACAGTAAGAAAATTTGGAAATAAACAAAACAAATATGAAAAATTTGCAATAAACAAGATCGTGTGTTTTTGTTGTAATTTAGTTGTGTTTGCTTGTGGGTGTTAGAGTATTTGTGTGTGTGTGTTTGCGTGCTCGAATTAGGTATATACATATTTATAAAGTTTTGGTTCTTCCACAGAGTACTTAAAATTTTGCATAGTATTTGTTTGCTTTCTAACTGAATCAGAAACCAGACTGACTGAAATATAATTTGCCACGGTTGTTGCTGCTCCTGCCTGCATCTTTCTATTTTAACTTGTTGCTGTTGGTGCTTTCCTGCTGATGTCAATTTTATTGTTGTTGTTGTTGCTGTTGCTGTTGATAATGATGTTGTTGTCGCTGCTCCTGTTGCTGTGGTTGTTCGTTTCGCCGCAAAGCTAACTGAATAGACACTCGGTCGCCTTCTCCAAATTCCAATTCTCTTTGGATAATACAGCGCGCGCATCGTGCTCATCAATGCCCATGTCCTTGAGCCGCTGTATCTTTGAATCACAATCGGGAAACGTAGTCGGGCCGCCGGCATACGCATTGGTCCAGTGTCGGGCAGTTAATACGAATAGATCGTGCTTATCCTTGAATTGATATGCGACAACGGCATCCTGGGGATCATCGGGTTCGGCGGCGGCCAGCAACGCCTGCAGCGACAATAATACCGTACGCAATGTCATCGCAGCGGCCCAGTTATCCTTTAATATGTCTAGGCAAATGGCGCCAGTGACTGACGAAATGTTCGGATGCCAAATGCGTGTTATAAAACGAACCTGAAACACAACTCCGAGTTTATACAAATATTTGTATACGTATATGTATATGTATATCACACATACATATTTAATATACACACAACCTACAACAGTGGACTCACCTTTGGTGGATTGAATGGGTATGTTTCTGGCACTTTAATTTCCAGCACAAACTTGCCGCCCTCGTAGGGCGTGTCTGGCGGGCCGGCGATCTCGCCGCGCAGCTCTGTCCAGCTATCATTGACTAGCTCTATTTTGATTGAGCACTGTACGATCTATAGATATGGTTTAGATATACAATATTAGCATAAATTAATAATGTTAAACAATTATGCAATTTGATTGTTTTAAGAGCCTCGCGCCAAAACAGAAAATGTTCCGATTGGAGGCAAAGTCCTTGATTTCTGCTCATATATGTGTGTATGTGTATACATATACGTGTATATATACATTTGTATATATTCTGCCAGGCCACACTCACCTCTTCGCTGCGCATAACTTCTTTAAATTCGCGCTTGATACGTGATACGGCCATGTTCGCCATGATTGTTAATTTTGTTGTTGGTAGTTTTTGTTGTTGTTGCTGGTGTTGTTTAGCTGTTCGAGATTTTACTGCCGATTATAGCAGAGTTCTCTATTGTTGTTGGATTGTTGATTGTTGTTTAGTTTGTGCTGTTATTGCTAATGTTGTCGTTGTTGTTGCGTAAATAACACGCAGTCGCTGACGATGGGTAAAAATCTATGATATATATAGACATATATGTTGCAGCTAAGTGGCGGCAGCATACAAAAACAATATGAAACGCTTCAATATTTCAATTATATTAAACTGACACTTTTTTCAACAAACTGTGCACGTAAGCCAGGGCTGCTAGACTATCGATAAACATTGGCAGTCAGCTGCTGGCAAGTGTGACCCATACGCCATATCTGAAATTATAAACCAAATGTTAAGTTTACGATTTATATCTATCGAGTCTGTTAATGGGAGGAGTTTCACTGTTATGTGTTTAGAGCTTAACAGATACCCGTTTACCCACAGTGCTGTAAAATACTTATATAAACTTGAATTTTTAGCGCCAAGTTCACATTGACTTTAAGATCATCTTATGCTCGTTTTACGCTAATGCTATGAATATGGGTATCTATAACTTGGACTTCATCTACATATGTGTAAGTAATTTGTAGATACGTATCACATTGGTGACACAGTATAATTCCACAGCCATGTTCAAGGCCTTGCGTTGATCCCTCAAAATGAACTTGATTTGACCTCAGGTAGAGACTTCTATTACGCCTTGGCAACCGATACACTTTGATGGCAATTCAAAACTCGTTTTTGTCTCTCATAAATAAAAAATGCGCGTCTAGCGCACAATAGGGCTCTCGCCAGCTTAGCAACAGCAGCCAAAAAATATACAGCAATTATGCGACTCAACACTATTTATTTGTATTTTAATTGTTTTGTTTTTGTTTTTAAGTTTCCTTTCTTCAGGTTTCAAAAGCAGAACAAATGTGTGGGACGAGAAGCTGCTGAGCAAGTCGTATTTAGCAGTTAAAAATAGCTCAGCCAACATTTTTTTTAAGGCCATTCGATACGTCTAGAGTCTAGACTATGTCTGCTCTAATTTATTTGCATTTCTAACTAACTTTTTATCAATTGGTCAACGCGAACATTCTAGCTCGGCGACATCTGAGACCGTTTCTGTTTTAGTTTTGTGCTGCGCTTGCTTGCTGGGCACGTGTTTCGTTTGTTTTCTTTTGTACAGACGTTCGGCCCAAGCTCCATTTAAAAAATATAAAAAACGCAATTAAAAAAAAAAAAAACATAGCGAGTTGCCGGCGCACTTACTCTTTGGCTTCTTTGATTACTCTCTCATTCTCTCTATTTCGCTCTCCACGATACTGACTCTCCGTCTTTCATTCTCTGCTGGCTTCTTCACACTCTCTCTTTTGCTTGGCAGTCAAACTTCATGACTTCGCCGCCAATGAAATCATTCAGGTTTTGAATTTTCATTGAAGCGGCTGCATTCTTAAGTGCCAAACAAAAGAATAGACGCAGACTAAGTGAAACGTGAGTAAGAAACAAAAAACAACCGTTTCAACGCCTAATTTATTTGTGTACCTAGTTATTTACGAACCGATTTGTTTCTGCACATGTTTCATGTAAGTTGAATTCTATTGCCGAAACGTGTTTACGTATGTGTGTGTGTGTGTGTTGATGCGAGTGTATGTGTGTTTTCATTGTGCTTTATCTGTTTGTAATGGAAAGAAACGTGCGTTATCAACAGTTAAGAAGCTGACACGTGGTTGCTTACCCCTCAAACCCCTCTTTATTTTTTATATGAATGCAACGACGCCATTTGCATTTGCGTCATATATATATATGTATATACAGATACACACATACATGCTACAGACTACGTCAGTGCTTTCCTTTTGTAAAAACATTTTAGCCTGGCATTTTAGCATTGGCTTCAGTTCATTTAAATTTAGACACGAAAACAATTTGACAAATCTCTGCGTATTCCATTGTACTGCTCAAGTACAGTCGTACTATACAACAAACAGCAACGACGAGCCCCCAAAAATAAATAGCTTTAGTTGGGATCATTAGCTTCGGCCAGCTTAAATAAAAAGCAATACAAAATTTAAATGCATTTTTGTAGCCCTCGCAATTGCATCCAAACAGCTGTACAACAGAAAGAAGAGAGTTAAAGAGAAAGAGAGAGAGAGAGAGAGCGAAATAATAGTCAATGCTTCGGCGAAAGCTTCTGGCACTAGCATTGCTCTGCGTCTATTAACTTATATGAGTTTATGTGTGTGTACAGATGTATGCATGTGTTCTTATGTGAAAGTCTGTGTATGTGTGTGTGAAACGCATACGCCATGTACGCGCTCAGTAGTCCCAATTGCTTACTCGCTGCTGGCGGCGTTGCGCTTGATTCTGTTGTTCTCAACGCCTAATCTACTGTCATAGTTCTAATAAATATACTTATAAATCAAAAAAATATATTATTATACAAAGCTATTTTTTACGTGCGCGCTCTTTGCTTTATAAATTCGCCGTTCGTTTCTCAGTCGTGTATTACCGTTAGCACTTGACAAATAGCGGCAAATTGCGCGCGTTGTGTTGCACGTCACTGCAGAGTTTTCGAGCATTTTGTCATGATGCCAGACACAAAAAGTTTAAAATCTGAACAAAATGGTGCGTATTGCGTGCAAGGTTAAATGTATATTTCACGGCCATTGTCAAACGAAAACCCCCTAACCATCCATACAAACAGCTGTTCGGCTTGTGTCGTGATAAAAGCTTTTCGGCACGCGCCTGTTTGCATGCTAGACTATATTGTTTTCGCTGCATTCCCATAGATTCTCGCTCTTGAAAGAGAGCAGAGAACCTAGCGCAAGGCTTTATCAGGGTACGTGCGAGCTTTTGATTATTGTTTTGGGACTGTCTGACGCCAGGAGAACTAAGAATGTTGCCAGACTGTGTTTATTTACATTATTCGAGTAAAGTATTATAAATATTGTATAAATATGAGTTGATGTTTCTTGCTTTAGTTAGCAAGATAAATATTGTTTCCTTTCGAACCACTTTGATTACCAACCTAAGCAATATACTTTCGAATTCGCCGCGATCTGGCCACAACACAACATTCGCTCACTCACACAGGTTGCGACAGCAATATGTCAAAATAATCACATGGCCGATGCTTGGGGTGGCTCTGGTGAGACTCGTACTCTTTCACTCTCACTATCTCTCGCTCTCTCTCTTCCGCACACACACATGCCCATACTGTTGCATGAGATATGTATATATGTATACAGACAAGCTTTTCGCTGCTTACACCAGATGTATGAATGAATATTTGGCGCGTGAGTGTGAGAGAGCAGCAGCGCAGCAATGCTTTCTGCCGCTGCCATCGTCTGCTTACATTTATTCTCATTGCGCTCTATTACAAGCGTTCGCTCACTCTCAACGCTCTCGACGCTCAATTCCGCCATGTATACGCACACACATACACGGGTGACAGCAGAGGCAGAGCGAATACGGCGACGTCGCTGTCGCTGCTTGTGCAAAAAAATTTTTATAATAAAAACTTGTACTCGTAGATTGTGTGATGCCAGTACGTTCTGCTAATCCGATACGCGCTAGAAGTTTGATCCGAGACAATTTGGAGAAACAGGCTGGTTGTCTAAATCTAATACACTCCAGAATGCCAAACATTAAAGTGTTTTCGGGCACCTCGCATCCGGATTTGGCGCAGCGTATTGTCGATCGCCTTGGCATCGACCTGGGCAAAGTGGTTACCAAGAAGTTTAGCAATTTGGAAACATGGTAAGTACATACATACATGCACACTAACATACTTACACACACATATACAATAAAATCGAATCGCGTGCTCCAGCCGTTTACCAATTGAAACAACAGCAACAAAAACAATAGCAATAATAACAAATTATGTGAAATGTGACCCCGTTAAATGCGTGTGATAAGTGCCCGAAAGTAAATTGAAAAAAAAAAAAAACAAAAAAGAAAAATCTGTGTGTCCATGTGGACAGTTTCAGCTCCTTGACATTACCAAAGGTTGCCAAGCGCTTGGCCATGCGTTTTTCTTTGACTGGCAGCGGGACGACAGCAGGTGCCCTACGCCTGGCTGCAGTTCAGTAAATTATAGTATTTTATTTCGTATATTTCTTTTAATAGGTTTCTTAATACAGTTCGTTTTGCTTTTTTGTGGTTTTTATTTTTATTGATTTAACAAGTGGACTGTACACCGTAGTCATTGGTTGCTTGCCGTGTGCTTGCCTTTCTATATGCATGTGTGTGTGCGTGATTGTGTGTATGAGGCTCACGCATATACACACTTACACACATGTATACTTAAATACTCAGACAATCGCGCAAAACACCAAGAGGAACGCGCTCTGGCTACATCGAAGCCAATGTCGCGTGCAAATTGTTTGTCGCCCGTAAAATTTAAATAATATTAAAATATTGAATCTTCATAAATATACAAAATTATTACATTTATATTTAATTAGCACATGTGATTTTACTTTGGCACTGTTGTGACGCAGCTTCAGCCTCAACACACGCACACACGCACACTCACACACTCACAAGCGAACAAGTCAGCTGCTACTCCAACAACAACAACAAATAATAATAAAGTGTCTCTGGTGGCTGGCGCCTTATCAACACGCACACACTGAAACGCGACACATGCAAAGCGGCCTAAAAGAATTTTAATAGAATTAAATAAACGTCGAAAATTATACAAAGGAAATTAGCAAACAATTAGAGTGTAAGGGAAAAAAAATATCAAAAAGAGAAACAAGAAGGCAGGCAAAAGAAATAAATGAGTGAGAAAAGTAAGAAAAATTAGAGGTTATAATATAAATAATGCGCGCTAAGCTTTTTGACATGATACGCGCTAGCCAAATGAGCGTGAGTATTCCATACATTCAGATGTGTGAATATGTGTGAGTTTGATGTGTAAGTAGTATATGTATATGCAGACACACGTTTATGCATGTATTATGTTATGCTCTCGCATACAGACGCAATGGCACGCAACTCACACAAAGGTAAACTCCAAAACAGAAGCAACGGAAGACAAGCAGGCAGGCAAGTAGGCTGGCAGGGAGCAGACAGCGATAGCAAACCAAACCATAACACGACACTGTCACGTTTTTTCGCCGCCAACTGAGCGAACGTGAGAGCGCGCACAGAAGAGAGTCACTCATAAGTCAGCCGATGACGATGGCGCGGCGTCGACGGCGACGGCGACGTCAACGACGGGACGCCCCCACATGTTCATGCTGCTCTGCGCTCACGCGTCTGCTTTTGCACTCTCTCTCTTTGTCTGTCGC